ACTCACCTCAGCCTCCCAAAGGCGCGGGATGACAGGCTGAGCCACCGAGCCCGGCTGGGGCCACGTCTTTTACCCAGGAGTCAGCGGCGTTGTGCCTGAGGCTTCAGGAGTTCTTGCAGAACGACTTTGTGGACCCAGATGTTTCTTCTGCCGCAGGACTGCGAAGGCCTCATCGTTCGCTCGGCCACCAAGGTGACTGCGGATGTCATCAATGCCGCCGAGAAGCTCCAGGTGGTGGGCAGGGCTGGCACGGGCGTGGACAACGTGGATCTGGAGGCCGCCACACGGAAGGGCATCCTGGTCATGAAGTGAGTGGCAGGGCGCGGAGGGGTGGGTGTGGAGATGGACCAGGAGCGGGCCGGGGAAGCTCACGTCCGAGGAAGCGGAGCCTGTAGAGGTGCCTGGTCTAGGGCCTGAGTCTAGACAGGGGGTCCACATTCCAGCTTAGGGGTGCCAAGGTTTGACAGTTGAGGCTCTCTGTGTCATCTCGAAATGTTTCCCAAGCCCGCCTGATGTGCAGCCGGGCTCGGGAGTCAGGAGAAGGCTGGCGAGTGTCCCTGCGTTCTCTGCCCTGCCTGCCTCCGTTGTTCTGTTCCTGGCAGGTTTTTGTCAGCTCTGCTCTGCTCTCCTTGCACGGAGGCACAGCCTGTGCTCGCAGAGGGACTTCTGGGCCTTCCTCACTTCCCCGCACCCTTCTGGAGCCAAGGCTCCAGTTTCCCTTGCAGCACCTCAGGGCATTTTGCAGAAATCCAGGGGGCAGAGGTCATTGCCAGCATGCCAGAGCTGGGCTGTACCCGTTCGGGCGCTGGGTGTGCAAAGCAAGTGCATGCCAGGCCTCTTCTCTGTCCTCAGACCTTTTTCCTCGGGAACCTCATCGTCCTGGAGTCCTTGCCCCTCCCCGGCCCTGCATTTCTTCGTCAAGGGCAGGGCTTGATTGACAGGCGCCTGACTGAGATCAGTATCCAGTGGGAGCGATGGCCAACGATAATCCATTCCACATTCTTGCCCCAGACCCAGAGACAGCCAGCCCCCTGCCGCTGCACCTCTGCCTGCTCCCCAAACAGCCTGTTCTCTGGGGCCGCATGAGAAGCCTGGTGGTTCTGCAGAAAGACAGACTCTTAAGACTTATTGGCCGGGCTCGGTGGCTCAGCCTGTAACCCCAGCGCTTTGGGAGGCCGAGGTGAGCGGATTGCCTGAGTCCGCGGGTTCGAGACCCGCCTGGCCAACTTGGCGAGACCTCGTCTCTACAATAAATCAAAAAATCAGCCAGACACGGTAGCACACGCCTGTAGTTCCAGCTCCTTGGAAGGCTGAGGTGGAAGGATCGCCGGAGCCCAGCAGGTCGAGGCTGTGGTAGCCGGGAGCGGCCACTGCACTCTGGTCTGGGCGACAGAGTGAGACTCCCACTCAAAAAAAAAAAAAAAGACTTATTTTATCTTATACACGATCTCCTTGACTTTTTCCTCTTGTTCCTCCTTTTTAGAGATGAAAAACACATCCAGTAGGGAAAGGGGGGTGAACATCTATGTTAAATTATTTCAAAAATTCGAAAACATTAAAAAAAAACCTTTAAGAAAAGAAACATAATGTGTGGTTTACCACCTTTATCCTCCTTTCTGAAAAATGAAGAGTCCAAATCGGCCCTGGGAGTTGGGGTATAAAGAGGCTTTCTCGGTTTGGAACTTGTTGAGAGATGAGAGGACAAGTCAAACAGGTGGCGACTAAGAAAACCAGGTTGGGTAACTTGACGGAGGTCTGTGGGCCATGGGCTGAGCTCTGACTTTGAAAGACTTGCTCACCCACCCTGGGCTCAGCCTCAGCCTCAGCAAGATCAAAGATATGGGGCAGCACGGAATTTGTGCTTCTGTAGGTGGGCAGATCCTGAAATGAGAGGAGAGGGAAAAAGGGTGGAGCCCCATGCAAAGAAAAAAAGAAAAAGAAGTAGAAAAGAAGGAAAGTGAAGTATGAGATACGTTTCCTCTGCCTCGGGAGGAGTGAGTGAGTTTGTGTCGAGAGAGGCCGAATGTGCTTCTCTGGTGGAGGTCCCTCTGCAGGGATGTCTGAAGCCGGGGCAAGAGGGTTTCCTGCCAGCTCTGGGCTTAGGGCAGGAGTGCCTGGGAGAACCCAGGATGGCAGCACAGGGTTGGGGTGTACACTGAGATCTGAGAAGCCCCTGGAGCAGGACAGGGAGCATACCCTGGCTCTCCAGGCTTTCTTGGGGCAGGAGTGGGAATACTGGGTCTGGGCCCACTGATGTTCCCCCTTTTCTTTGATCTGCAGCACCCCCAATGGGAACAGCCTCAGTGCTGCGGAGCTCACCTGTGGGATGATCATGTGCCTGGCCAGGTAAGTCCTCGACTTCTCAGCAGAGCCGCCCTCTGGTGTACCGCGAGTTGCCTCTTGCTGAACAGCCTGACCCAGAGACACTTAGAAGCGTTTCAGCTTGGTGACGTGCAGACTGCTGAGGCCATTAGCCCTCTACCTGTCATTCTTTACTTTTATTTATTTTTTATTTTTTTTGAGTTGGAGTCTTGCTCTGTCGCCCAGACCGGAGTGCAGTGGCCGCTCCCGGCCACCGCAGCCTCGACCTGCTGGGCTCCGACGATCCTTCCGCCTAGCCTTCCGAGTAGCCGGAATTACAGGCATGCGCTACCACGCCCGGCTGATTTTTTGATTCATTGTAGAGATGAGGTCTCGCCAAGTTGCCCAGGCGGGTCTGGAACCCGTGGGCTCAGGCAGTCCACTCACCTCAGCCTCTCAAGGCGTGGGGTGACAGGCTGAGCCACCGAGCCCGGCTTACCTGTCATTCTTTAAACAGGTTCCCAAGCACACGTAAGTCAGCTGGCTTCTCAGACCCTTAGTACCTGCAGACAGGAAAGGCGTAGATGTAGGGCTGTTGCTCGTTATCTAGGGGCCCGCTCACTGACGTAGGTGTGTGCATGGCGTGCTCTTCCTTCTTTTTCTCTTTCCTCGTTTTCTCTTCTGTCCACTGCAGACACTGCTTCCTCTCGCCTCCACCCCTTGCAAACGCTCTCCATCCCCTGCTGCCTGGAGCACCCTTCCCAGGGTCTTTGTCTAGCGGCCCTTTGCTTATTCGTTAAGATTAAGCTCGAGTGTTCATTCATCCAGGAAGCTCTCTCTGGCTTTCCCCGCTGGACTGTGTCCCTCACTGCTTCCCCAGGCCCCCAAGGGCTTACCTCTGTCCCTGTCCTTACAAATCTGTATTGTAGTACAATGGAATAAGAACCCGATTTAGGATCCCTGTGCCTACCTGTGGGTTCTTTTTTTTTTTTTTTTTTGTGTTGGAGTCTCACTCACTTGCCCAGACTGGAGTGTGGAGTGTAGTGGCCGCTCTCGGCTGCCGCAGCCTCGACCTGCTGGGCTCCGGCGATCCTTCCGCCTCAGCCTTCCAAGTAGCTGGAATTACAGGAGCGTGCTACCATGCCCGGCAAATTTTTTTGATTTATTGTAGAGGTGAGGTCTCGCCAAGTTGCCCAGGCGGGTCTTAAACCCGCAGGCTCAGGCAATCCATTCACCTCAGCCTCCCAAAGCATGGGATTACAGGCTGAGCCACCGAGCCCAGCCACCCGTGGGTTCTTAACAAAGTGGAACTCGGAGGGTTGAGCCTCTTGCTCCTCCAGCCTGAGTTCAGGGGTGGGGGACTCTTGAGTACAGGGGACAGCCTAAAAACCAAATGGATATGGCCTATAACGTGCATGGGTCTTAGTGTTATGGGTAGTAATTTGGTAAACATGATTGCACTGAGCGCTTCTGTTGAATAGGCTACCCAAGCATTTCTGAGGCCAACGGGAAGGCAAGTTTCCCAAATAGACAGGGTAAGAAGCTGCTTTAAGTCCCTTCAAAGCTCTTGGGATCCTTAAACCAGGGGACCCAGGCAGACTCCTTACTTCTTTATGCAGTAAGAATCTGAAATCTGGGACCAAGAAATTACCCCTTTTCACATTTCAAGATGTGCTTTCCCAAACCTGCTGGGGGCAGACGTGGGGGAGTTAAGCTTTCCTCTGACTCCTTCCCAGGAGTTCTATCTGAGGTCTCAGGTATTCATCTGCTATTCACCAGTCAGTGGAAGGGGACAGTGGAGAAAGAGAGAAACAGGGATAGCTTACACAGCAGAAGGGTCTCAGCCTAGAAGGGGACCCCAGGCTGGCGGCCTGGACCTCCCAGAATATCTGGGTTGAGTGTATCTTCCTCTGGAGAAGTACAGCAATCTGGTACCTTGGTCTCACTTGAGCTATTCGATTCTGTGAGCATTTATTTATTCATTTGGAGCAAGGAAAGGATTTTAGTGGCGCTTCCGATCTGATTAATTACTTCACTTTTTTGGAGAGGTGGAAGGAAAGGGTTGGGAGCCAGGAATACTTTCCTTCCTATCCCAGGACCAGTTTGACGTAAAGAAATGGGTGAGGTGCCGCGGTTTAAAGAACTTTCCCCACCACTTACCACGACCTCACTCATCAGACGTGTGTCACAACTAGGAGATGCCCACCTGTTGAGAAGGAATTTTCCTCAGGCAAGCAGGAAGCGAGAGTGGGCACTGCAGGCTCCAAAGGGCTGGGCGGTGTGGGTGGAAACTGGGCCTGGCAGGGCCTCACCGATGGGGCTCAGAGCAGCTGGCACGTCTCCTGAGGTGCGGGCGCACTCGGGAAGAAACAGGGGTGTCGCCATTTTGGCCTGCATCACCGTCTCCTCTGGCCGTCAAGCCAGTGACCGTTTAATTCTTGGGAGGTCCCTGGCCCACATCGGCGTCTTCCCCAGCTAGGCCTGGTGAGGACCCCACCGTGTTGAGACCTGGGAGGCTCTGTGACCAGCTGGATGTGGCAGCCAAGGGAGGGTTTAGGGGCTTCTTGTGGTCTGCGGTGTCACACACACCCTTCTTAGATAGCACCGTGGAGGCAGATGGGCTGACAACAGGCTGTGAGAAAACAGAGAGGAGGCGGTGAAGGGTCTGCCTCGCCAGGTCACAGCCATTTTATCAGGCTAGCTTTCCCCAGGAGTGAGTGGTTCCTCAAAGCAGGTCACTTCACTGTCCTCGTTACCCTTCTGAAATGGGCCCCTGTGCGGAGGCCTAGAAGGGCCAGAGCAGTGAGATGCAGCTCGTTCCCCACAAGGTGCGGCACTGAAGCTTTGAGGGGTTAACCATAGGAACATGGGTCTGGGATGGAGGACAGAGTCCACACTCAGCCTTTCGCGGGTGGAATCTGTGTCCTGACAATGGGCAGGGATGACAAAATATTTTTGCTTTAGCAGGGGCTGAAGTGAAAGTACAGAACAGAGCTGGGCGTGGTGGCTCAAACCTGTAATCCAGTACTTTGGGAGTCTGAAACAAGAGAGAATTGCTTGAGCTTAGGGATTCGAGACCCGCCTGGACAACTTGGCGAGACCTCATCTCTACAATAAATCAAAAAAATTAGCCGGGTGTGGTAGTGTGCACCTGTAGTTCCGGCTATTTGGAAGGCTGAGGCGGAAGGATTGCTGGAGCCCAGCAGGTCGAGGCTGTGGTGGCCGGGAGCGTGCCACTGCACTCCAGCCTGGGTGACAGGATGAGACTCCAACTCAAAAAAAGGAAGAACAGGAACAGCATCTTAGACTCTATGTTAGACTCTATGTTTGTACCTACACACAGACTGAGTCTTTTTAGGCTGGCAGGAGAGCCTGATTTCAGTACTTAGGAGGCTGGCTGTGATGATGATGCCTTTGCTGGCTTTGAGTCTCTTCAGTTCTTTCAGTTGGGTTATGCTGGGTGAGTTGTTGAACTCCCAGCGCCTCCCTCCATGCAGTTGTTGTGAACTAGAGATGAGCCAATGTGTGTCTAAACATTTCTTTTAGGATGTCTAAAATAGGAAAGGCACTCCATACATTATTTCTTGTCTCTTCCTTTTTGCCTCCAGAGATGCCCTACGTGACCCGTGTCCCACATGACATACCTGTGTTGTGTTTTTTTTTGAGCTGGAGTCTCACTCCGTCGCCCAGACTGGAGTGCAGCAGCCGCTTCCGGCCACCGCAGCCTCGACCTGCTGGGGCTCCGGCGGTCCTCCCGCCTCAGCCTTCCGAGTAGCTGGAACTACAGGCGTGCGCTACCATGCCCGGCTCATTTTTGGTTTATTGTAGAGATGAGGTCTCGCCAAGTTGCCTGGGCGGATCTCGAACCTGCGGGCTCAGGCCATCCACTCACCTCGGCCTCTCAAAGTGCTGGGATGACAGGCTGAGCCACCGAGCCTGGCCTGTCCCAGCCTTTTCAAGCCAGGTCTTGCCAAGGGTTCCCTCTTCTGCTCTCCCTTCTCCGCCTGTCGGTGTTTCTGAACTGAACACCCAGACTCCCCTGAGCTTGACTCCGGGGGAGTGGCTGTCCTAGGTGGTGGCTGTGTAGACCTGATGTTGTGCCTCCCCAGGCTGGCGGGGTCTGAGTGGGCCGCTGAACCTGTGTCTGTCCTTGCAGGCGGATCCCCCAGGCGACGGCTTCGATGAAGGCTGGCAAATGGGAGCGGAAGAAGGTGAGCAGCTGGCCTTGCCCCGCCCGCCTCGGGCTCGAGGCCTGAGGTCCACCCGTGGTGCTCACTTCAGCTTCTTTGCCTTCTGCCTGTTTGGTTGCAGTTCATGGGGACGGAGCTGAGTGGAAAGACCCTGGGCATCCTCGGCCTGGGCAGGATTGGGCGAGAGGTGGCCACTCGGATGCAGTCCTTCGGGATGAAGGTAAGAGGCTGCCGGGCCCTCTGGCGCGGGACTTCTGCAGCAGTTTTGGAAGAGGCATCTTGGCGTGGGAGAAGCCAAACGCTTTGTTCTAGGAGCGCCTGACCCTCCAGAGCCCCCGACTAAATCAGCAGTAAAGACCGGGAAGGAGGGAATATTGGCCTGCTGATCTCGACACTGGAACTGGAAAGCTGGGAACGCTCGGGGCGGGCCCTTCACCTCTAGGCGGTGGACAGCCCCGCGTACCAGCAGCCCAGAGAGGGTTTTGGTGTCCTGCCTATCCTCTCCTCCCCTGCTGTGAGGGATTCCTGGTTTTGTTGTGTCTGCTTTCCTGGGATACCTTTAGAAATCAGGAACACCTTTATAGCCTTACAATAAAACAGTGGTCCTATCCTTCCAGTTTCCCTTCCATATTCCAGAAAAGATTTCAAGTTGCTTGTATATACATTGTGATATGGCTGGGGAACTCCTCATGGCTGGAAGACCTTACATATATCTCAGAAATCATGCCTCACCCCTCTTTCCCCCAGGGCACTGCTTTTTCCTGCCCTGGGAACTCAGTAGGCTTCTGACAGAAGGAGGGTTGCAGTCAGTATTAACACCACCCCGTCAGGCCAATCCAGGAGACCTTGCAAATGAGGAAGGCCATTCAGCTAAGAGAGAGGGTCCAGAGCTGCCCAGACAGACCAGAGAGATAAGGCAGCTGAGCGTGCTAGAGAACATCTCTGTGTTCATTATCTGTTGACGTTTTACAGGGATTGTGAGTTCAAACTTCAGCCAGGAAGGCTTTAAACATTAAGAAAATAGTTTTAAGCCGGGTTTGGTGGCTCAGCCTGTCATCCCATGCCCTTGGGAGGCTGAGGTGAGTGGACTGCCTGAGCCCGCGGGTTCGAGACCCGTCTGGGCAGCAAGACCTCATCTCTACAATAAATCAAAAACTCAGCTGGGCGTGGTAGTGCGCACCTGTAATTCCGGCTACTCGGAAGGCTGAGGCGGAAGGATCGCCGGAGTCCAGCAGGTGGAGGCTGCGGTAGCCGGGAGCGGCCACTGCACTCCAGTCTGGGCGATGGAGTGAGACTCCAACTCAAAAAAAATAAATAAATAAAAGAAAATAGTTTTGACAATCAGATTATCTCGGGTCTAGGAAAGTTTACACAGAGTTGCTATAGAATTTTCTTTCTCTCCATCCCTCCCGCCTTCTTAAAAGGGACCTTATAAATGAACCCTTAATTTTATATGGATGTCCAGGATTTGTAAGCTTGTGCTTAAGAACTCGTAGCAAATGACTGGGAACCTAGAGCCTGGTAAGCATCCCCTTATCCATACTGAACACCTTTCTCCCTCCTGCCCACCTCTCCCTCCTCCCCACTCCCCACCTTGTTTCAGTCATCAGACATCTTTCCTAAACTTCAGCCCCAGGAGGGGCCAGGCATGCTCTGAGAGAGGTGGGTATGGCCCAGCAGGATCCATCGATCACGAAGACAAATCGCATCCTAATAAAAATTTAGCTAGAACACATTTCAGTGCCCTAACTGTGAGTTCAAAAATGCAACTGAGCAATTTTGGAGGTAGAAGCATTTGTCAAAGCTTTTCTTGGCAGAGGAAGGCTTTGGTTGACAAAAGAGCTGTGTGGTAGTTAACAGTGGCGTGACTGATAAAAAGGTAATATGAATTTTGGCAGCATTGAAAGGAGTATGATAGGGCTGGGTACGGTGGCTCAAGCCTGTAATCCCAGCACTTTTAAAGGCCAAGGCAAGAGGACTGCCTGAACCCAGTGGTTCGAGACCAGCCTGGACAACTTGGTGAGACTTCATCTCTATAAATAAATAAAAAAACAAGCTGGGCGCTCCTGTAGTTCCAGCTACTTGGAAGGCTGAGGCAGAAGGATCGCCTGAGCCCAGCAGGTTGAGGCTGCAGTGACCGGGAGTGTGCCACTGCACTCCAGCCTGGGCAACAGAGTGAGACTCCAACTCAAAAAAAATTTAAAAAGGAGTGTGGCTTCCAGAGCAAGGGAGCTGTCCCTCCTCACACTCTGGACTGGCCAGCCCACCTGGCTGAGGGCTGAGTCATGCAGGTCTTGCATTCTATACTGTTGTTTCTGCATGCAACTTTTTCTCAACAGTGTTGCCAAATAACAAACAGGTTGTGACCTCAGAGACTCCATTTATTCCTGCTGGCATGTTCCCTAAAATGTGTTGACAGGCCTAAGCCAGTTGGGAGCCGAGCCTTGTACATTCTTATCAAGGTTTTCCGTGAGGGAGTGGACCAGCATCTTTTAACAGTTTCTTTGTGGCCAGCATTGAGATGAATCTGACTTTAGCCCAGAGGAATGGACATTGAACCTGAGGCACCAGTTGTCACCGTTTCTTTCAAGTCCAGCTAATGTTTACTGAGCTCTGCTGTGTCAGTCCCTGTGCTCACAACAACCCTGCGGGTCAGTATTATGATCCCAGGTGTACAGACAAGGCAACTGAGGCCAGGAAGGTTCCAACCTAGATGCTGGATCTCTTGACTCCTACTGGCGCTCCTTGCTCAGAACCACCCATTTCAGGATCCATCTCCATTCATGATCCATGGTCATTAAATGGTCACTCTCTGTTCCATGGCACTGTTCCAAGGACAGCTGCTCTCCAGGACAGACAGCTCCGATCTCATTATGGGACCTGGAATTCTTACTGCCCAGAGCAGTGATTTTCAAATTCTTCTCAGGTTCTGGCAAGGTGTGCTAAGGACACAGGTGGGAGATAGCATGTGGTGGCACTTTGGGCCTTCACCTCTGCATCTTGGAGTGGTTATTTTTTTTGAGTCGGAGTCTCACTCGGTTGCCCAGACTAGAGTGCAGTGGCCGCTCCCGGCCACCGCAGCCTCAAACTGCTGGGCTCCGGCGATCCTTCCGCCTCAGCCTTCCGAGTAGCTGGAACTACAGGCGCGCTACCATGCCCAACTCATTTTTTATTTATTGTAGAGGTGAGGTCTTGCCAAGTTGCCTGGGCGGGTCTCGAATCTGTGGGCTCAGGCAATCCACTCACCTCAGCCTCCCAGAGTGCTGGGATCACAGGCTGAGCCACTGAGCCTGGCTGATTTTTTTTTTTTTTTTAGTTAGGGTCTTATGCTGTTGCCCAGGCTGGAGTGCAGTGTATGATCACAGCTCACCACGCAGCCTCAACCTCTTGGGCTCTAGCCGTCCTTCCACCTCAATCTCTTGGGTAGCTAGGACTATAGGTACACACCACCATGACTGGCTAATTTTTAAAAAATTTTTCTTAGGGCCAGTCTTGCTATGTTGTTCAGGCTGGCTCGAACTCCTGGGCTCAAGCAATCTTCCTGCCTCAGCCTCTCAAAGTTCTGGGATTACAAACTTAAGCCACTGCGCCCAGCCTTGATCTGTTTTTATACTGGGCTCTGGTTAAGTTTTCCCAGTGGCAGAAGGAGAGTTCCAGCACTCACCCAAAACACTTGGCTGTGTGGTGGAGGGAGGCTGTGACTGTTAGGGCTCTTCATCGGAGCCCTTTACCAGGAAGGCCTCCTGGATCTCCTCCCTGCTGAGCCAGAAGTGCCCGAAGCTGAGCCACCATGATCCACCTCTCAGAACTGCCTAGTTCTAGGACACCAGCTAGGAGCTGCCCTGGAGGCCCCTTGGAAGCAAGGCGGGTCCCCTGTTGCATCAGCAGCAGGAGTCTGTCCCGGGGCTGGGTTGGAGGTAGGGCAGTCCCTTTGTGCGTTGCCCAAGGCTGCTCTCAGGAGTGGCCTTCGGACGGTTACCCAGAGGTGCTACAGCTTCTGTGTCTGAGGACCTCTCGCCCTTTCCAGGACACATCAGGACCCTGGCAGGCTCGTGCCTCCTGGGCCCATGTCATCCTCTGCATCCCCCAAGGGAGTCTCCTGGGACAAGAGCCCCAGCCCCGAGCTAAGTCCAGCTCCTTTCTGCCCTGGTTATTCCAAATGGAAAAATAAGAGCGGGGTTTTGTTTGTTTTTTTGTTTTGTTTTGTTTTGGAGTTGGAGTCTCACTCTGTCGCCCAGACTGGAGTGCAGTGGCCGCTCCCGGCCCCCGCAGCCTCGACCTGCTGGGCTCCGGCGATCCTTCCGCCTCAGCCTTCCAAGTAGCCAGAATTACAGGCGCGCGCTGCCATGCCCAGATAATTTTTTGATTTATTGTAGAGATAAGGGCTCGCCAAGTTGCCCAGGCGGGTCTTGGACCCGCGGGCTCAGGCCATCCTCTCACCTCAGCCTCCCAAAGTGCTGGGATTACAGGCTGAGCCACCGAGCCCAGCAAGAGCAGGGTTTTTCTCAGCTAAATTCTTGCCGTCATTGTCTACAGATACGTAAGACACCCTCTCTTTCTGAGAGAAAGAAGCTGAGTCAGTGCCTCACTGGCCACCGAGGAGGAAGATGCTCACCTCTTCGTCTCCCGTCCCTCTCCCTTCCAGCCCATGCACCTGTCCGTGATGCCCCAGGCCAGGCGGGTCCTTCAGCCCCAGGCTGTTTCTTGGCTCCCGGGCACACGGCAGGCGATGGGGTTCCGTGAAGTTGCTCAGGCAGGCTCGGCCTTGTGACCTCTGTTGGTGTCCCTGTCCTCTCCCCACTCCACGTGAGGAAAAAAATACATCTGGATCAGGGATGAACAGGACCGTTGTTCTAGGCAGCCCCGGAGCCAGCCGAGAAGGAAACCCTGTGAAAACAAAACAAGGGCAGGGATCCTGTCTCCTCCCCTAAACATTTCCCTCTCCCCATGAGAAACTAGGAGGTTGCCACTGAGCGGATGGTAATGTCTGAGAAAGCCCCCCTGTGCTCTGTGGGTGATGGTCCTTGCGGGGCATGGGGGAAGCAGCCTCTTTCCCTAAAACCTGCACGAATGGTCAGGTGAGCCACTCGGCTTTCCTTATTCCACGGGGCTGATGGTGAAATGGGATTTGGAAGCTTTGCCTCATTTTATAGCCATTTTCAGTTTCTTCCTAGAATGCTGAGTTAGGAATAGAAGTCCTCTTTCCCATTATGTTCTAAAGTAGCTTTTCTATTTCCCTAGTTTCAAAAGCAATTCAGTGTGGTGGAGAACTTCAAAAGCACCGGAAAGCACAAATGAGAAACACAATTCCACCCTCCGGGGACAGCCGCTGTTCAAGTATCGTGCAGCCTGTGCTTTCTGTTTTTGTTTAATCCCAGGCCATCTCTGAACACTGTCGTCTCAGGGCTAGGGGAAATTCTCTACAGATAGTTGTGAATGACTGAATTAGAGCAGCGGATGACTAAAGTCACCCAGCCATCTTCTTTATTCCAGGTTGAGGACCCGGGTCCTGGGGACTGCCTTGTGCCTTTACACACAGTGGAGTCACTGCGGGAGGACACAGGCCCAGATGTCCTGGTTGAGGGTGCACACATGACTTGCTCTTGTTCCTGAGCCAGCTCTGCACCACCATGGCTCTCCTCCCTCAGTGCTTCCTCACTGTTTGTTTGGTTTTTTTCCCTCAGTGCTTCCTCACTGTTTGTTTGGTTTTTTTTGAGTTGGAGTCTCACTCTGTCACCCAGACTGCAGTGCAATGGCATGCTCGTGGCCAACCTGTTGGGCTCAGGTGATCCTTCCATCTCAGCCTTCCAAAGTATCTGGAACTACAGGCAGGCACCACCAAGCTCGGCTAATTTTTTCATTTATTGTAGAGATGTGGTCTCGCCCAGTTGCTCAGGCTGGTCAAAAACCCATAGGCTCAGGCGGTCCTCTCACCTTGACCTCCCAAAGTGCTGGGGTTATAGGCGTGAGGCACTGTTTAAATACCTGGCACCCCTATCAGTTTTCTGGGCCTGGGTCCCCCAGCTGCAGCCCTGCCTCTCTTCCCTGTCCTGGCTGTACCCTGGGACGTCATCGCCTTCCATTTGATGGTCCTCCCTCACCAAGCGCTCCCTGCTTTCTAAGGGCTTCCAGGCGCCACTGTTTCCAGTCACACTTGAGCTTCTCTGGCTCCTGTGTTGGTCAGAATGTGGAGGTGGACAGACCACCCTTTGAGCTCTGCCTCTCCCCACTCCTGCTTGGGGAAACCCTGCTTGCCTCAGCTTTGAAGCCGACAGAAGAACAGTCCCAACCTCATTGTATTGTTGTGAGAATTAAACTGGAGAATTGGATTAGGCTTAGCATGGTGTGGGATATATGGCAGTACGGTATTGTTACTACTACTAATGATACCTTGCCAGGTGTGGGGAGCCACGATCATCCCACTGCACTCCAGCCCGGGCAGCAGAGTGAGACTCCCAACTAAAATAATAACAATACGAATAATTAGTAATGATACTTCCTTACTCTCTCTTGCTTCTGGCCAGACGATAGGTTATGACCCCATCATTTCTCCAGAGGTCTCGGCCTCCTTCGGTGTTCAGCAGCTGCCCTTAGAGGAGATCTGGCCTCGCTGTGATTTCATCACGGTGCACACGCCTCTCCTGCCTTCCACGACAGGTAGGTGGGTCCCACGTTGGGGGTTGGCCACAGAAGGCACAGACCCGTTGACCGGCAGGCCCTCCAGTCTGTGCCTTCTGTGGACACTGGCGATCACCCACGGGGAGGGTCCACCTGGGTCCTGCAGACACTTTGTTGGACACCTTGCACCAGGTGGAGGAGGGTGAGCCAGCTGGAGGCACCTGGTGTCTGGGTGAGCTAGGCACAGGTACATCCAGGGACCCTGTGGGTGCTTCCTGTGGCCCCAGCAGGGCCTTCTATTCCCAGATCCAGTTGAAACAGTAATACCTCAAGAACTTCTAGAATGTTCCTAAACTGAGTCTAGCCCAGATCCTGAACTGAAACTCCCGGCCCAGAGCACTTGAGAAGGAAGAACAGAGAGGCTGTTGTCCAGCAGGAGGAGAGGCCTCTGGTCGCCAGTGCGGAGTGTGGCATCTAGGCACCGCCACGGCAGGAAGATGCTTCCCTTTCTTCCAGGCCTGCTGAACGACGGCACCTTTGCCCAGTGCAAGAAGGGTGTGTGTGTGGTGAACTGCGCCCGCGGAGGGATCGTGGACGAGGGTGCCCTGCTCCGGGCCCTGCAGTCTGGTCAGTGTGCTGGGGCCGCGCTGGACGTGTTTACGGAAGTAAGTGCCCGGCAGCCTCCTTGTGGGGAGGAGCGGGGGGTGAGGAACAGAGAGGCTGGTGGCAGGGAAAGTTCAGCGTTTTACAGATGGCCTTCAGTGTACTGTCCCTGGTGTCCTTGGTAAATGGGGGAAAGCTGTGTTGCTAAAAACACACCCGTGTGGCTTGAGGAGGTCTTGCCGAGCTTGGTACGGAGGCAGCCATGTGGTTTTCTGCAAAACTTAGGTTTTAACCCTTTACCCATTTAGAAAAAAAAAATTGCAGCTCACTACCCCATTCATTTAATTTTACGTAAACACACTCTTGGAGGCTGAAGCAGATCTGACAGGTTTTCAATGTGAAAATAAAATATAAAAACTATTCTTGGCTGGGCACAGTGGCTCATGCCTATAATCCCAGCACTTTGGGAGGCCAAGTGCTTTGGGAGGCTCACGCCTATAATCCCAGCACTTTGCCTGAGCCCACGGGTTTGAGACCAGTCCAGGCAACTTGGCGAGACCTTATCTCTGCAATAAATAGAAAAATTTGCTGGGCTTGGTGGCACATGCCTGTGGTTCCAACTACTTGGAAGGCTGAGGCAGAAGGATTGCCTGAGCCTAGCAGGTCAAGGCTGCGGTGGCTGTGAGCATGCCACTGCACTCCAGCCTGGGCAACAGAGAGACTCCGATTCAAAAGAAAAAAACCCAAACAAAAAACTATTCTTGGAGTTGTTTCTAAACAGAACTTGCCTCTGAGAATTACCAAAAAAAGAAGAGACTTCCTATATTTTGTAATTCTCTCTCTCTTTTTTTAACCTTGGGGAAACACTGGCGCCACAAGTGCCACCAGCCAGTATCCTCGGGCTTAACAGGGAAAGGATTACACGGACCCAGTTCCTGTCCCAGGCTTCTCAGGCTTCTGCCGTGTTGACACGTGGGCAGGGCAGCAAATCGGGGCTACGGCTGAGGACTTGGGGCGGGGAGACAGGGGTGTTATGTCTTGTTCCAGTGCCTGCTTGTGGTGCAGTCCCATCACAAGAAGTCGTTCCACCCCATGTCCGCTGGCATTCCTTCTCCCCGCCTCTTCCTGGGGAGGGATGGAACCCCAAGGAGAAAGGCAGGGTTCCCTCAGGGTCCTCGGACCGGCTGCTCCCGCCCTCAGTGTCAGGGCTCTTCCCCGTGAGACAGCAGAGCGGGCCCCGACTTTGGATTCGAAGTTGGTGGTGTGCAGGTTACTAGCTCTGTGGCCTCGGCAAGTCACGGGTCCTCTCTGAGTTTCTTAGTGTTCCAAGCCCAGTGCTTTTTGGTTTGTCCTCCTGGTCCTCTTTCTCGACGGGACCGCAGGCTCCTCGAGGGCAGGGGCAGCCTTGCCCTCCTTGGCATCGCCCTCCTCCCTGGCGCAGACCTTCGGCTCTCTCCAGCACCCTTGCACCACTTGCTGCTAAGCGGCAGGGATCACAGGGCTACATGGCCAAAATGGACTGGGACCGACAGAGCCCTGGGGAGAGGGGCCGGAAGCGAAGACGCCTGCCTAACATTCCCAAGGGCTGTCTTCTGCTTGGTGAGCCTAGGGGTGGGACACGGGAGGAGGTGCGGGGGTCCACACGGGGCCTGCCTGTCCTGGTGAGAGCAGAGCACTGTGCTGAGAGCCCAGTGAGGCACGCTGCCAGCAAGTGCCACAAGGGTGCTGAGGGGAAAAAACAACAGCAACCATTAGCTACCACTGGTTGCCAACTTCCTGTGCTAGGGGTGCGAAATCCCCACACTAATGTTGTAAGGTAGACAGCATTTGCCATTTCTTTTTTTTTTTTGAGTTGGAGTCTCACTCTGTCACCCAGACTGTAATGCATTGCCCGTTCCCAGCCACTGCAGCCTCGACCTGCTGGGCTGCGGCGATCTTTCCACCTCAGCCTTCCGAGTAGTCGGAATTACAGGCATGCGCTACCACGGCCAGCTGATGAGGTCTCGCCAAGTTGCCCAGGCAGGTCCCAAACCCGCGGGCTCAAGCCATCCACTCACCTCAACCTCCCCAAGCGCAGGATGACAGGATGAGCCACCGAGCCCGGCACATTTGCCATTTCATAGATAAAGAAACTGAGGCTTAGAGAGAGGGCGGCTTGCCCCCGGGAACCCAGTGGGTAAGTGGTGGAGGTGGGATTTGGATCTGGTCCACAGGTGGTGCTCCGTCCACTCCGCTGTGATGGAGCCCTCGTGAGGATGCGGGCTTCTGAGTCCGCGAGCACCCGGACGAAGCTCAGATAGAAATCGGCGGCACCCTGCCCTCCTTCAACCTGTCTTCTGTCCTGGGAGGGCCCGAGAGGGTGTGGTCGGCTCACAGCACTCAGCCTAGAGGGGTCTCTCTCCGCACAGGAGCCCCCACGGGACCGAGCCTTGGTGGACCATGAGAACGTCATCAGCTGCCCCCACCTGGGCGCCAGCACCAAGGAGGCCCAGAGCCGCTGCGGGGAGGAAATTGCCGTCCAGTTTGTGGACATGGTGAAGGGGAAATCGCTCGCGGGGGTTGTAAGTATCGCCTCCCGGGGCTGGGGCTGGAGGCGGCGGGAGGACGCGGTGGGTGGCAACAGCTTGGGCGAAGAGATTCCACCCTGGGAGCCGAGGGCTAGGGAATCTGCTCGAGTCAGCCCCTGGGAGGGTGGGGGCAGGGGCGCCCTGCTCCAGCCTTGGTAGGGGAGCCTGGGCGGTGGAGAGCCCCGCTCAGGCCTGTTACACTGCAGTCTCACGGCGGAGACCGTGGCTCTGGCTCTTCCCAGGGCTCAGCCGGCGGAGAAAGGCTCTTTTGTTCTCCACATGCCTTGGGAAGGAAGGAGTGTTGCTTGGGTGGCAGCTGGCCGCATTGGGCGGTGGGGGATGGGAACCGCCAGCGTGGAAAGCTCCTGTGAGAGCTTGCATGCTGCAAACTCCCCGAAGCGCTCCTTCCATCGCGTCCATCTGGGACCCTGGTCCAAGTCTCACCTGCAGGGTCAGCCTGCTCTCTCTAGTCCCAGCATGACCCCTCCTAAACCACGGCGTGGCACCCCCGCTTGGTTTCTTTGCTCCTGTTGAGCCTTTCCTGACGTGCGTTTCTCCTTCCCAAGTCCCGCCTCGTTGATTCCATCTTCAGATAGTCCTTAAACTCTGGTGGGGACAGACACTGTCTTGGCCCTTGGGGGACCCAGGTGGCGAGGTCGGCCTAGCTCTCATTTCAGGGCCTCGCTGCCTCCTTCGCGAAGACTTGCTTGGCCCTTCCCGTCCCATCTCCAGCCTTTGCATTCTTTTTTTTTTTTTTTGGAGGTA